ACACAGAATGAGATCGCAGAGTCTGGAACTTTGTCCTTCAGTCGCAAACATACAACTGGCCTGGACGTGAACAACACACGAAGCTTAGCTGCGTAGAAAGTCTTATCGATTGCGTCAGATAATCTTTGTATGATCTCGGTTGATGTGTAAGTGCTAAAGCTTCCCTGGCCCACCCCTCATACAAACCACATTGTGAGTAATCTCGATGGTCGGATGAGTGGACAAACAAACGTGTGATCGTAGTGAACCCGACTTCCGGTTTGCGTTTTTATTTTATTTCATTTTCCCATGACAATTTTATTCCGAAGTAGTGATATATATATTAAGATATATTGGCATGAATACGAATCTCTGAAAACGAGCTTGTTCGCCACTCTGTTGTTTTGTTTGAAACAATGCTGACATCATAAACTCGGTATCTTGAACGTTTGAGCGATTGAAAAAAGAACAGCCCAGAACCGAGGGAAACAAACCAACTAATGAATTTCGTGCAAATCATCTCATGTACATCACGTATCATGTGTGACTTGATATAAATTTCGTTTGCCTATATTCATAGACCTCACTTTGCTATCTCACGGTTGATTTCAGCGGTAGCGATTGGTTGAGTTTTCGGTTAACGGTCTAGGAGGAGGGCCATGACGAGTGTCACGAATTTCAGCATCGCTTGTCTTGAACACTGCTAGATGAAACCATTTGCTGTCGCTACTTAATGTCGGCTTGTAGATAGACTGTAAGCCTTCCATGAAACTGAATTCATCGAAAGTCTGTGTTGTCCTTGTAATTGAAATGATCGGCTTACCATGTGGTTTCAGATCTACGAGTTCGCTGTCTGTTGAATCTTAAATTCGGGTGTTCTGTTTTTACATGTAAAGACTGGTTTCACCAGAGACCCACAAGGTTTATCATACGGTAATTGCACCTAGTAGGGGCTAATAATTCTAATCTATGATGTTACTCTTTTGGCTGATTGCTTACCTATCAGAACAATCAGTTACGGATAATACAAACCATCACAGTGCTATTCCCTTAGTGGTCTTGATCCTTGTCCGGTATTTCCTTGCTTTACGTTAGACATTCGGTCGACTCATCGAGCCGGAAACCATTCATTTCCTTCTTAGTGTTCAAGTTTTGCTCTTAGCTCGACCCCAACACAAACGGAAAAACGTCATGGATTGTTCTACGTATCAAGATCACTCTATTTGTCGAGATATACATATGGATATATATATATATATATATATATCCACAAAGTTCATAATTGCTTGACAGAAAAGATAATTAACAGAGCACAAATGCCAGTGAGACCGTAAGATTCGGCAAACGAAAACATTTTCAGTACTAAACAACATGTGATTCGGTTGAAAGGAGAATTGTCCGTTATATCTGTTCACCCGTAAAACAGGAGGGGAATCAGACAGATCTGTCAGTTAGGGCCAGGTGCAATTCAGGGGAGGTCAATGTCATTCGGTAACTTGCATAACTGCTGTCACCTTTGAGATAAGTTTGAATAAGTTTATTCATGAGGGAAGATTGATGGAATGCGCGTGTGTGTGAGTAAGAGAGAGAGAAAAAATAGAAAAAGAACATTGGAACGAATAGAAGGCATCCTATTGCCGATAAATGCCAACAGTGGAATGATGATTTGGGGGTGTGTGGCAGGGGTTGAAATGAAGTTAAATGCACAAACAATTGGTTGATCGACTCAAACCACTGGCTTACAGTTGGAAGTGAAATGCTTTGACGGTTCACTCGGACTGATGGTTCCAAATGGATGACTGAATGGTGGAGCTTTTCAACGGTCTGACCTATTGTGAATATGATTACGTAGGTGAGACATACTTCGCGTGAAGGGTAAGTAAAATGAGGTATCGGTAGGATTGAGCATAATGCGTCCACGATTCGCTTTCCCCTGAAGAAAAAGAGACAGCGAGAAGTTAATAAGAGAATAAGATGTGAACAGTGCACAACGAACGCATACCCATCCCCTCCCAAATTTTTGCAATCGCTTCCACTTTTCTAGTGAAAATAGAGTTGGTCAGAAACAGCTAATTCAAGGTACAATACGACTAACTAAAGTTCAGGACTAAATGCTGGAAGAGGGATACGATTATAGGGCACACGGAACATTAAGAAAAAGACCAGGTAGATCAATAATCCCAGCAACAAGTGGATAACATAAGGTCTTTATTGTGGTGCTTGGTCGCTCATAATTTTCTCTATAATATTCTGCAGACGGATTGAGGATGATGGAACTAATATAGGAAACATCGGAAAAGATTAACGTAGTATTATCATTGCGATACAAACCCCAGAATTGCGCGGAAAACCTATGCAGATTATGGATTCATAGTCGTCCTCCGGCGAAGCCTGTTGCTACCAAAATATCTGAATCAGCGACTCGATGTTCTTTCGTGCAACTGGCATGTCAAATTTAAAATTGCGTAAAATACTTGCGTTAACCGAACGTGAAGCATTCAGCTCAGCTTATCCTCAGATCCCCGGCGGGTTTGTACTTCGTCGTCGATTGAAATGTTTCTGTGCCAGTTATTAAGTTTTCTTCAACAAATTTTCAGATGTGAAAATGCGTAACCGATTCGGTCTATGGAACATCGTTTTGTTACCAATACTTAGCTAACAGCCGACATTTAGCACTCAGGAAAATACTCACCAGGTATGACACTGCTTAGACGCGATAATCCTAAGGAGCTGCGCTGGAGGTGTGTTGCTCTATTTCAGCAGCACCATACCACAATTTGATATGATTGTTGGTTATCTTACTACGATCTGAAACAAATTATGTTGTTCTGTAAGACTGTCGTTACACGATATGGGCTTGATCAATGAGGTGCATTGTTAAGCTTTTATCCACAGATAGCCAACAGGACACTGTTGCAAACCATGACTCATGTTATCGTTGAATCTCACACATGTTCTCAAAAATGTCGGCTTCTGTTCTCCAAATTTAGTTAGGTCCTTAACCTTCTCGAGGGTCAGTTCATATAGTTTATTTGATCGCACTCCCTATGCAACCAGGCGAAGGCACCAACCATGTTTGGAGCATATATGTAATCGTTGATTTTGGATCTGGTGTCAACAACTTAAGCTCGGGACTCCATGTAGTGAAGCGTTTGAGGCCCCGCTAGGTTAGGATGACAGCGAAGCTGTCTATCACCAGAGTTGGTTGGCTGTAGCAGGGTTCAAATCTCGGAACCTGCGGTTAAAAGCATATCACTAAGAGTAGATCAAATCGCTTGACCACTATCGCCTAGGGATTTCTGCGTCTTTTTCTCGGTTTTATAAACGTTCTTCCAAAAGATTCGGAGAAACAAAAACTCCTTAGGATGAGGCAACAGCCTAGGACAAGTTGGAAACCTGAGAGTTTATTGGAACTTCAAAGAACTTTTGATTAGCTCTATACTTTCGCTTCCGGACGGTTGATGCCACCATCTTTGTGTCAGATAAAACGCCTACTCACCTTACCAAACTTGGTTATAGAAGTACAATAGTAATGATAAAAAATTTCAGGAGAGTAATCGCGAACTTACAAATGGCATTGATTTAAAGGTTGCCCGCTTGTTCTCGGACCGAATCCAACCAGATTTTCACAGCATCATAGATTTGTCTTGCCTGAAATCAGGTGAGAGTTGAACAAAAGATGTAAATGTTTTTGTTCTGTCAAAGAGAAGTGACAATCGCTGTGTCGATTTAACGATCTTCGCACATAACGCGATCCGTTGATTACGGCTTTGAACTATGACTGCCAGACTTTTCAAAAGTAGGCACTCATTCTCTCCTTAGCATCTGCTTCTGTCGGTTCTGATAATAATTCCTTCGGGTTTGGATCCCTAATTTATCGGTAGAAACCCATATGTCGCCCCCAATTAAAACATCGAAGGAGTCCTATGAGTTACATGCAAAATACATGGACTAGCTACCAAAGCTTGTGGAGAGAAACTGTGACACAGTGGCACATTTTGTATTAAGGAAGCGATGTTCCTGAGACGTTATTATAGAGGATACCAGACTTTAACTATATTCACTTTAATTTCAACCATATCGCAAGAGTAAAATATACGACCGGCCGATCGTGCATTAAGCAAACCATTGGAGACCTTAACTTGCATGATCAGCCACAATGATCTCAATTTGTTTATCGATACCCATGCAATTGTGTTGATACGCACGCTGACAGGGCGGAACGAAACTTGGCTCGCGGACTGGCTGAACACGTAACAAGATTGTTTTGGCACTCACCAACCCAACTGTGTTATTCAAGTTACAATTGGCAAAATGCATCCTTAATCAACAGGTCCTCAAGTTGATCTGGCAAAGACATGCGACTCCGAAAGTGGAATGCGAACCTGCACCTCACGACGTGATTGTCCTGATTATCCTGGAATCAGATCTACCAAGGTTACCATTACAAAGCAGAGATTGATATACTACTGCAGATGTATACCATATCTCATTCTTTCTGGTGATTTCGACTCAAAATCGAATTGCGACCACTAAGGTTGTTCAAACACTCAATCTCGCTTTCGCATGGGGTTGATCAGTAGCATCGAACTTTTAACGAGTAGGAAATATTATATACGTACGCAATGCAAACCTAATTTGCATCTCGGGGAGTGGATTTGAGATGAACAAGTCTCAAAAAATCATTGGGACGATTATGTATTAGGTGTTGTGAGTCAGAAGCGTCCAACCTCATCCAATCCAAAGCTAGGTCCGATTTTCAGTATTTTTATAATGAGCGTAAGATTGAATGGAATGACTGGGGAATTTCGTCCGGTTAGTTGTGTACTACTCATGATATTATATATGCGTCTAATTAGTGATTTAAGGGATTTCGGGTGAAAATGGAAGATTGAATCACCTTTCTCCAACATGATGAAAGGTCTTCAAGGCCTAACTGGTGTGGTAGCCTGTTTCCGGTATACGTGGTTCGCATTATCAATTGTACTATCACATAGAAACCGTATTCGAATAGTAGAAAGAAGTGGAGGTGTGCATTTTCTTTTTATCCTCACCTGGTGGCTGTAATAGCTTTCAGCCACATCCACTCCGTTACGTTTCATTGTTAACACAATCGCATGTTCATCGGCCGACAGCATGACACCGAGAGAAGAGTTACAATCCATTCGATTGATAATGGCTCCAGTCAGATCTCGAAGAATAATGCAATTTTTATAAATCTATAAGAGAGATGAAAAACATACAGAAAAAAGAGTGTAAGTTCCATGAAGCATGATCGTTTCGGAGTTTATTACACTGCTCTGAGGATCATTTGGTTTACGTTAATGCTGATACAGCTAGTGACCGAGTTGGTAGCTCAACGATACTAAAGTGTTCACTTCGATTGTAAACATCTTTAGCTTTTGTAATGATCTAACAAAAGCCAAACTTGTGAAAAAGCTCCTCCACAGAATTGGGCTATATCAGGTATCGATGTATGGTTCTAAAGGAAACAAACAAAGAATTTCATCGCACCGATGGAAAAGGAAACGTAAACTGAAAAGCTGTTCAGAGTTAGATCGGTATCATTAGCAATGAATCGATCCAAATCAGACGTGAACCTGGGACCTCACGTAGAACGCCAATGTACTACTGACTTGACCACCAGGCTGGACGGACTCTAATGTATTTGTTTTCAATCACAGCAATTCATAGTACTTACTATATCGTTGATAATATCGTTCTAACTATGCATTTGGATGAGTCATACAAAAAGAGCATAGACGGAAAAGCTTATAATTAGTTCAGCTTTGAAAAATGAAAATCGAATTCTCTACCGCTGCCTGCAAAAACCACAGTGGGAATATGAGATGTAGACTCTGAAATGAATGAGAAGTATACCTTGAAATGTCTCTATCTGAAAAAGGTTAGAATATGCTAGGTATAAGAAGAATCAGGTTGATCAATAGCCTAGAGACGACAAAAAAGCATTTTGTTTTGTCCTTATGAGATTTTAAATTTGGCTGTTATTAAATAAAATAAGCTGGACTGTTGATAAAAACACAGAATGTAGATATGTATTCATCGGAATTGATAGCATCTTTTCGCATTGTGAGTTATGAGGAATATAAAAATTGCTTGTTGTGAGTGGCATGAAGTACCACGAGTGTATTGTACTTGTGTGCGTACGCATGTAGTACACTGGGCAAATGGCATCGGAACAGCCAAAACTAACCTCAAAGATTTTGCAATCTTCGGAATTCCCGCTGGATTTCTGCACATGGAACGTGTGCAAGCAATTGCATCTGGTCACTGTAGGAAGCAAGTCCACAGCATTTCCTTCCTGTCGTGTGCGTGGAATGAAAAACACGATAAAACTGGACACGTGAACAAAGCATTTACATTTCAGTGGGAATATGTTGTTTGAAGTAGCCAAAGTCTGCACGTCCAGTATTTGGTATGTGGACACAGCGAACAAAACAAGATAAATTTCAGCGGTGACACTCCAAGCAATTAGTACATTTGACGATCTCCCATGCAACTCTTAATTGAAAGTCATTTGAACCCGGTATTAACAATCGACATAAATTCAACGAGAGCGTCATTATAATCCCGTTTCTTGGCCTAACTCGAGCAAACAAATTTGGTATTTTGCACAGCGCATTCCTTATGGAAGTACAAAATAATTCCATACTATCCTCGTGGGACAACAAGTTCGATATAGTTCTTTCCCGACATCCCCGTTGATTGAACTGCTAGTATGGCAACATTGAGCGACTCGGTCGCTTATGATGGAGGTTTTGGGTGTAAAAATTAATACAGTACATTTTTGCAAGGAAACTTTTATATTACTCCAATATTGTGCATTACGTTCCAAATGAAATGTAACAGAATCGTTCGGTGCATAAACTGCGCAGTTACGCAATACTCGCTGCCTAGCTCACAATGATGTCGGGAAAAGACTACTTTGAATGTTTTACGATTTGGGGGTTGTATTCTTTCCAGTGAGAATAAATTTATTAGAAATATCGCGAATAATTGTTTATCATACTAAGACCTGTTATAGTACGACCCTTGTGAGCAATCGAGGCAGTCACAACCGTCTTGGGAAGTCGGGTATGTATGAGGTTTCTGAGTAACTAGATAAACAAATGAGCCGTATCCTCATTGTAACACAATTACGAGAATTGACTAAGAGATAGTAATTGCTGATATTCATCAAACATGAAAGGCATCGGATTCAGATTTTGCCAAAATCAAAAAACATCGATGATAGACTCAATCGTCATCTTCCCAATCACAACACCACCCATCCAAGTTTTGGTGTTTGGAAAGCTCGCTTCCCTGAACGAATAATGAATAGTAGTGTATATGAAGTTCGCTACCAAGTTGATGAACAGTACATTTTTGGGAGAACGTATGGAAGCGGATTAGTCTACGAATGATCAACCCGCGGTGCACAATGGATACGTCGATCAGTTTGATTACTCGACTTTATATAAAAACAGTACAGCACGTCTAATATGAAAGTTAAAACCTAAAATTTACAGTTTATTATATCCTCAAATTTTTCCGGATCAAATCATTGTTTTATAACGACGTTCCGAACGGAAACCAATATTTCGCGGTTCGTTTCTGTGCTCGGTGTACAAAACTTTCAGTCACTCGTATGGCAATCATTATTTTGTTAGGATAGACCTCGTTGTGAAACCGACAATCCTGAAGACAAGCCATAGGGTAATGATACTCTGTTACTGGTAGTAGAGAACAACATAGGCTACCACTGGTATAAGTGTGACATTAGTCCCTACGAAAAAACCTGTCTACCAGCTACGTTTGGAGATGGATGGTAGGGAACAAACCAGAAAACCTGGGATTCCGGAATACGGCGATGACGATGACTCAACCCAACTGTTAAACACTACAATCGTATTTATCACCACCGAATGATCTTCAGATTTTTAGTTGATCGTTCAACCTTCGATTATGATCTCATCTTTTACTCATAGTTTTCACAGTTTTATCATCAGTTTGCTGAATTAATAGCACGAAAGCATGTCCTAAAACCCAAAATATTCTTTGGTACTGTTAGAAGGGATACATAGCCATTGTAGAAGGTGAGAGTACAGTTAACACACATAAATAACCCAAACGATTCATTGATTTATCCAGATGTTTGACCCCATAAAAATACAATCAGATTTTGATAAGTGCTTGTCTAGCCACTCATTATCAGTGTAAATACATATTGACAGTTGAATATTCTCTCCTTATGAAATCTCAGTGACTTTCTGAATTGATAAAAGTACAGTTTGGTACTTACGACAAGCTTAAGTGTAATTCAGTAAGAAGAATACAGACTAAAAAGCTGTACAAGAATGCTCAAAGAAACCATTAATGAAGACTCAATCACGATAAACAAAAGCTACATGCCAACGGCAAACTTTGCCGACAACTGTTGAAACTTTAATTTTATTTTTAATTACTCTAGGTTCCACAACAAACGGAAAGAAATGTTAATTGCGCACCAAATCAACATGATAGCAAGGAAAAAACTTACGAGATATTGTAGCTGATCTAGCAAGTGCGATAGTGTATTCGAAAAATACGACCCAAGGCGACAACGAGCTTGAATTCGTCGAATGCGTGTACGTATTGCTTCTCGATCTACCTTCATCATGAGCATACAACCGATCAGATTGTACAGACATGTAGCCAGCAAGCGATCTTCTTGACACTGTAAAATGCGTTTCTCTGTCGGTGTCAGATTGTAAAATTTTTCCAGCATTTCCATCGGAGCCTGATCTAGTCCTGAACAAAGTATGGATTTTCATCGCCCGACAAACAAGAATATGGTAAGATGTATGAAAAATCATGACACAGATGACCGCATTGTGATTCCACCGCATTCGGAAGCGGAAAGCAAGAACAATAAGCAACACGAGGATAGTGATTAAATAAATTAAATACATTACATTCTTAAGGCAAAGAACAAAGAAATTCGTCACAGAAACACAATATTGTACACACAGTTTCTTAAATTCGGCATGTGCGTATATATTGTTAGTTAGATTTACGAATAATTCGGCGCACATATGCGTAGTTGGAACGAAGTTAGGATTTGACGCTCCGTAATTAGGGAGAAACAATAACAATGAGACATCATTGCCGGAAGATCAAAATACCTGTGTTAGAGAGATACATTCGAAATGTCAGTCAGCGTAAGCCAGCACGACAGGTGCGTATCTCATAAGCGGTTAGCCATACTTGATTTGCGCAGTGATATGCCACATGTTGACCCAACCGAAATTGTCAGTTATTCAGGAAAACGGTTTTGTTTATTCAATTGCGATTCATTGGTTGTACGATTTTTCACGTTTGATAAGGCACTCTGTAGCCTTGCCGGAGTTGTATCTTTCAGTGTTTTACTGTCTCCCAGTTTGAGGTTAAGGAAGCAGCGCTCGTTGTGATCCAGGAGAAAAATAGAGAACAAAAACAATTTCGCTCCAGTATGCCAAAACAATTCCCTCCCGTTGCACTTGCTGGGCAAGGCTGGAGGAGACGTTGCGGCGGTCAGAATATGATATGGCGTGGAGGTATAAAGAAGCTTGCTTCAGCTTTGGCTTCACTTGGTGCATCCCACCCTCCAGGTTGGAGCCCGGGGGCGAGGATAGTCGTTGGTTTGGACGGTAAGAGATATGGCCCAAAATAGAAGTCAGTAGCGCGGATGTCATACGGTCTGCCTGTTGAAGTCCCGTACCTGTTTTGTAACCGTTCAACATTTTTACAATTCGTTCTGCATCCGAATCCACCCATCCCTGGTTTCTGTTATTATTGTTATGGCATTGGCACCATGTTTGTCCGCAAGCTGGTGATAAATATATAATATATATATATATAATATATATATAATATATAATATATATATGATATATAATATATATAATATATATATAATATATATATAATAATATATATAATATATATAATATATATA